TGTTGTATTTCCTCAGCGACCAGCACGGATCAGCTCCAGGCATGACGAAGCGGATATCGTCCTCTTTTGGAAGACCAAACAAAGTAGTTTCGCTTTCACAACGAAACAGCGTCACACACCGCGGCCTTGAGTGAGCGGAGGCGGGCCGGCTTGAGAACGGCACGGCCGGCGGAAATCGACGACGGAGAGGTCGGCGTGTTTGCGGCAACCACATGTGACGACCCCGGGCTGGACTCCGCAGAATAAAAGTTACGCCGCCTTTCTTTGCATGAACATTTGGGCGGCGTTATGCAAATCTTCCCACATTGTGACGTAGACATGTGGGGGCGTGTTAGAACGAGCCGTTTTAGGTAGGCGTGGTTGACTCTTAATTTAATAAAGAATATCTCTTTGGATTTGAGACTTTAGTCTTTGCAACTTTACAGATCTTCTTTATGCACCAAGAGCTTGTAACACTCCAAAGAGAAAGGAAAAATTTAAATCGCATCATATGACCCCTTTAATGTTAAGACTTTTACCTTTATTTATTTGATTTGTTTGCTGTGGTTCTGTGTTCAATTGTTCAATTAAAGTTTTATTAAAATGTTAAATAATAGTAACTTTTTTTTTGTAACGAAAAAATTAGGCTATTATAAAAACACTGAATAAAAAATTGCTTACCGACACACAAACCATTCACAATTGCTAAATTTGGCTAAAATAGAAGGCTCCGAGTGAGACTAAATGAAGAGCCATTTGGGAGCCGTAAGAGCCGGCTCTTCTAAGGGAGCCGAGCCAAAAGAGCCGAATATTTGAAAAGAGCCGGACTTCCCATCACTAATTGGCACTTGCCTTGGCCGTTGTAGTATCATCAGGGTTTTACGGAAGTTGGAACGTGAACTTTATGCATCATTTTCTGTAACTTTAATTCATTAGCCGCCTTTTGTTAAGTTTTATAAAGTGGAATGTTTAAACTTGTGAAGGTTTGAATTAAGCAACTTTAAGCATATAATGTGTCGTCTTATAAAACAAGCATGACTTTTTATAAAGCCGTTTCGTTCCAGATAGCAGTGGTAGCGTCTTGGGTTCGATCCAATGGCGGAAGAGCTGACTAACGTAATGTTATGTAGGGAGTACGTTTGTTTGAGTCCAAATCTGAGTGTCGTCTTCGTTGTCAAATGTAGCCTATGTCTGAAGAAAACGCTAGACGGCGCTGGGGTTTCGATCTCTCCTCGTCTTCAGAAAAATCCAAGTAAAGTAACCGCTGAGCTATGCCAGCGCAGACAACACTCATTTCGTGTTGTTATATGGAAATCACATGAAAACATTTTATGATGTTCTTTTTACTGTTTATCAAATAACGATTATTTATAGTTTACAGTGTGTTCATAATTATGCAAGCACATTTTACAAATTCCAAACCACATCAGTCTTAATAACTACTATTAATTTTGTATTTAATTATTTATAAGTGATATATAACTGTCCATGAAGCCTGGAAGTGAAACTCCTTATATTCAGGTGTGCATAATTATTAAGCAGTTTTTCTTTTACAGATAAAAATTAGCCAAAAAAGAAATTGACCTCAGATTGAAAAGTCAAAAATTATTAAATGCCCATGAGAAGGATGCAATACTAATGCAATACTAGAATTTGCTAATTTAAGGCATGACCATTGGAAAGGGAAATGCTCTTTGAGTCAGCAGGGTCAGAACAAATCTGGTAGAGAAGAAAAGGCACATGTTAACTGCAAAAGAATTAAGAATAAATGTAAAGAATTAGGTGTGAAACCATCAGGAACCATTTAGTCTCCAACACCACCATTTTCCAGAACTGCAACCTACCTGGAGTCTCCAAAACTACAAGGTGTCAGGTTCTCAGAGACATTGCTTGGGTCAAAAATTCTAAAAAATTATCCTCACTTAGTTAAGAATAACATGTTGAAGTGTTGTGAAATTCATGAAGACTGCTTTTTATATGATATAGTTGAGAGTGACTCTTGAAGGACTAGCACCACATCCTCTTGTACCACTGTTTGAAGAATTTATCTTCAATCTGGCAGTAAGTTTTTGAGTTAATTTTTAGTCGATTCTTGCTAAGATGGACTAAAAATGAACTCCCAAAACTTACTGCCAGATTCTTATAGATTCTTCAAACAGTGGTACAAGACGATGTGTTGCTGGTCATTCAAGAATCACTCTCATCTTATCTGTCTATAAAGCCTATAAAATGTATAGGCTTTATATATTTTAATGTATTTTACTACACTTCAGCATGTGATTCTTACTAAGTGAGGGTAATTTTTTAGGATTCTTTTCCTAACCTAAGTCTCAGAGAACCTGACCCCTTGTACTTCTGGAGAGTCCATAGGTTGCAGTTTTAGAAAAAGGTAGTGCTGGCAGGAGACTCCAGAGCAACAACACAAACGTTTCTTTACTTTACATAGTGTTTATTTTGGGGAAAACTATGAAGGTAAAATGACGTCAAAAAGATTTGCATACGTTAGTTTTTTTTACACATACAGATTGGTTCTATGCAGTCAATCTGTTTTGCAGTTCTTTAAACTGTTGTTTTCGCTTGCAAATCACTGTTCACAGGCTTGCAGTGCTTTTGACCGTCTTTTGGCGAAAAAAACGTGCCAAAAGTGTAAGCGCGGAAAAATGGAAGTCAGAAGCATGCAGATCATATTTATTTTGCGTTAGCATGAAGCTGCAGTTTCACAATACATGAATTACACTTACGAGTAACAGTAAAATGCTGCAAATATTTTTTTCTTGCGCTTGAAACACGATTTACACCTTTACAAATCTTCTCTTGCGCATGCAAATTTAATTTATGCTTACAGTCTTATGTACACTTCCACAAATATTACCCTGCGTATGCAAATCTTTTTGACGTCATTCTACCTTCATTGAAAACTGCTAACAATATAGTTCCAAATCCAAAAATGTCATTTTCATGACAAAATGCTAAACATGATACATAATTTGAGATGTGGTAACAGTGTGACATACATTAGGCCTATATGTTTATGGCTTTCAGGAAAAAAACAACAACAACAACACACACACACACACAACTGTCTCATGATGCATGCATACACTGTTGAACATTGTTAGTATATGAAACTATAAGAGTGTTAAAAGTGTGCTTTTAGACACAGGACCAAATGCCTGTAGTTGAAGAAACACCAATAAAGGCTTGTTGTAAATTGTTATCACCTTACTTTTCCTGTAAGAGCGGGCGCAGCCATTTGTAAATTTAATGGGTCTGGCTTCCGGTCTCAGCTGCATCCAGCTATTTTTAGCTGTACAAAACAGCTTGTTTTGCTGCTTTATATTGCAAATTGGTGTGTCTGATCGCTGTATTATCTTAATTATGAACAAAATGGTTTGTACCAACAGTTTTACCACTTACTGCATGTTGTTATTCTTCTCATTATTTCCCTATAGCGGCTAATGAACCGGAAGTCTCCCCCATAGGCTTACTTCTGCATTGAAGAATAAGTTGGATAGCTACTAAACAGACTGAACCCTTAATGGTTGTGTTCCTAATAAGTTTGTCTAATTTGCTTCACACTATTTAATCTGTTATGTGAGTTTATGTCATTTATTTTCCATTCCACAATGTTTCCTATACCTATGAGTAGGTTTTGAGTAGAGAAGGATGTTTGATTTTACAAACTTTACAAGTTTCTTGGAAGAAAATAAATGCTATTAACCACAGCAATTTGGAGACATGTAGTAATGGTCCACTTCCAGGGCAGTCCTTTGGTCGCTCTGAAAAAAAGATGCTTAATCTGTTAAAGGGTGGAAGATAATGAACTGATGTAAAAAGACAGAAAGAAAGAAAGAAAGAAAGAAAGAAAGAATGCAAAATTCTGAACTCAACAAACTAGATAAACAGTATTTTGACAGAATATAGCTACGCCATTTGCCACAAAATGCCCATGTTTTTACATGTTTTACAAAAACATTCCAACTATATTAACCATTATTTATTGGTCGAGATTAAGTTTTAAGAAACTGACACTAACTTTTCCCAGTGTATTTCACAATGAGTGTCTTCTCTTCTTCACTTGTTCTCCGTGACAGAGCGCATACGTAAGTCTTGGTCTGGTTATGGTAAATCTTGGCATGATCTTTGATAATAAGTCGACATACTTCAGCTGTAGCATAGAATGAAACATCGCTGTTTACCATTGCCTGAGCTAGCAATTAGTGTCTCACCATCATAAAGGCTGCAGTAAAAGGGTGTGTTGTCACAAGGTGGGTAGTAACAATCAACTGTTAGGCTTTGGTTTTTAGTGACACAGGCTGTGAGTGCTCCAAAATCTGGTTTCTTTTGGGAATAGACAGCTGTGGAAGAAAATAATAATTCTTATGTATTGTATTTTGATTTGAATGTGCATTAACATAAATACCAGTGCTCTCCTGATAGTAAAATAGTGTTATAGTTCCTTGAAAGTGTGTAAAATGATTCAGAAAAAATGTTTTTAAATGATAGACATTATATGTATAGAGACCATGGGTGATTTCAAAACTTTCATCTTGAAGATTAAAAAAGTGTAACTTTAATCAAATCACTTTAAACTTAAAGGCCTATATGAGATTTGTGTTTGATACTTACCCGAGAACAAGAGGATGACAACAATCATTTCTAGATTCCAGTGGCTCTCTGTGTGAAGCAATAAAAACAAACCAGCTAAAACAAAAATAGAATTTCATTTCATAAATATGGAACTGTTTTTTTTTTCAACAGATGTTTATATTTATAGGATTTTCTCTCACACCAAGAGTCAAGAATAAGAATTAAAATATCAATTATAATATCCATTATTTAGTCTTTAAAGTCACAAATGGTACTCAAATAAAACAAACTAATAAAAATAAACAGGATAGCATTAAAGTCATATATATATACAAATTTGAGCTATTATACAGATAGTTGACAGGTTGACAGGATCAACAGTTTGAAGACTGTAAAAGATTCATAACAGAAAACAATTCAAAAGCTCTTACCTTTGATCATTGTTACTTGAATGTATTTGCATTTTGTGTGAATAATCCTTCTATTAACTATTTGAAATTGAGAGAAACATCTAATGTTGTGGGCCGGGTTCTGCAAATCACTGTTCACAGGCTTGCAGTGCTTTTGACCGTCTTTTGGCGAAAAAAACGTGCCAAAAGTGTAAGCGCGGAAAAATGGAAGTCAGAAGCATGCAGATCATATTTATTTTGCGTTAGCATGAAGCTGCAGTTTCACAATACATGAATTACACTTACGAGTAACAGTAAAATGCTGCAAATATTTTTTTCTTGCGCTTGAAACACGATTTACACCTTTACAAATCTTCTCTTGCGCATGCAAATTTAATTTATGCTTACAGTCTTATGTACACTTCCACAAATATTACCCTGCGTATGCAAATCTTTTTGACGTCATTCTACCTTCATTGAAAACTGCTAACAATATAGTTCCAAATCCAAAAATGTCATTTTCATGACAAAATGCTAAACATGATACATAATTTGAGATGTGGTAACAGTGTGACATACATTAGGCCTATATGTTTATGGCTTTCAGGAAAAAAACAACAACAACAACACACACACACACACAACTGTCTCATGATGCATGCATACACTGTTGAACATTGTTAGTATATGAAACTATAAGAGTGTTAAAAGTGTGCTTTTAGACACAGGACCAAATGCCTGTAGTTGAAGAAACACCAATAAAGGCTTGTTGTAAATTGTTATCACCTTACTTTTCCTGTAAGAGCGGGCGCAGCCATTTGTAAATTTAATGGGTCTGGCTTCCGGTCTCAGCTGCATCCAGCTATTTTTAGCTGTACAAAACAGCTTGTTTTGCTGCTTTATATTGCAAATTGGTGTGTCTGATCGCTGTATTATCTTAATTATGAACAAAATGGTTTGTACCAACAGTTTTACCACTTACTGCATGTTGTTATTCTTCTCATTATTTCCCTATAGCGGCTAATGAACCGGAAGTCTCCCCCATAGGCTTACTTCTGCATTGAAGAATAAGTTGGATAGCTACTAAACAGACTGAACCCTTAATGGTTGTGTTCCTAATAAGTTTGTCTAATTTGCTTCACACTATTTAATCTGTTATGTGAGTTTATGTCATTTATTTTCCATTCCACAATGTTTCCTATACCTATGAGTAGGTTTTGAGTAGAGAAGGATGTTTGATTTTACAAACTTTACAAGTTTCTTGGAAGAAAATAAATGCTATTAACCACAGCAATTTGGAGACATGTAGTAATGGTCCACTTCCAGGGCAGTCCTTTGGTCGCTCTGAAAAAAAGATGCTTAATCTGTTAAAGGGTGGAGGATAATGAACTGATGTAAAAAGACAGAAAGAAAGAAAGAAAGAAAGAAAGAAAGAATGCAAAATTCTGAACTCAACAAACTAGATAAACAGTATTTTGACAGAATATAGCTACGCCATTTGCCACAAAATGCCCATGTTTTTACATGTTTTACAAAAACATTCCAACTATATTAACCATTATTTATTGGTCGAGATTAAGTTTTAAGAAACTGACACTAACTTTTCCCAGTGTATTTCACAATGAGTGTCTTCTCTTCTTCACTTGTTCTCCGTGACAGAGCGCATACGTAAGTCTTGGTCTGGTTATGGTAAATCTTGGCATGATCTTTGATAATAAGTCGACATACTTCAGCTGTAGCATAGAATGAAACATCGCTGTTTACCATTGCCTGAGCTAGCAATTAGTGTCTCACCATCATAAAGGCTGCAGTAAAAGGGTGTGTTGTCACAAGGTGGGTAGTAACAATCAACTGTTAGGCTTTGGTTTTTAGTGACACAGGCTGTGAGTGCTCCAAAATCTGGTTTCTTTTGGGAATAGACAGCTGTGGAAGAAAATAATCATTCTTATGTATTGTATTTTGATTTGAATGTGCATTAACATAAATACCAGTGCTCTCCTGATAGTAAAATAGTGTTATAGTTCCTTGAAAGTGTGTAAAATGATTCAGAAAAAATGTTTTTAAATGATAGACATTATATGTATAGAGACCATGGGTGATTTCAAAACTTTCATCTTGAAGATTAAAAAAGTGTAACTTTAATCAAATCACTTTAAACTTAAAGGCCTATATGAGATTTGTGTTTGATACTTACCCGAGAACAAGAGGATGACAACAATCATTTCTAGATTCCAGTGGCTCTCTGTGTGAAGCAATAAAAACAAACCAGCTAAAACAAAAATAGAATTTCATTTCATAAATATGGAACTGTTTTTTTTTTCAACAGATGTTTATATTTATAGGATTTTCTCTCACACCAAGAGTCAAGAATAAGAATTAAAATATCAATTATAATATCCATTATTTAGTCTTTAAAGTCACAAATGGTACTCAAATAAAACAAACTAATAAAAATAAACAGGATAGCATTAAAGTCATATATATATACAAATTTGAGCTATTATACAGATAGTTGACAGGTTGACAGGATCAACAGTTTGAAGACTGTAAAAGATTCATAACAGAAAACAATTCAAAAGCTCTTACCTTTGATCATTGTTACTTGAATGTATTTGCATTTTGTGTGAATAATCCTTCTATTAACTATTTGAAATTGAGAGAAACATCTAATGTTGTGGGCCGGGTTCAAATGAGAGAAATCAATGGGAATGTGCTTTTGCTGGGCTTTTATAGCATTCATTTGTGTGTGTGCTGAGGGGTTTAATGCATTTCCAGATGAAGAAAATTACATAATACAACAAGGAAACTATTACTCAGAAAAAACAATCTTTCTATTTTTTAAATTATTACTATATACTAGCATCTAACAGCCTACAATATATCACCCTTTATTTTTTCTTAAATCATAAAAAATATTATTTTCAGAGAGAGCCACAGTGGTTGGATTCAAGTGAACCACCTCACAACCTCATATACATGGATGAGGCTTACTTCAACCTAACCAAAAGGGCTGGAGTTACTTGTGAATTATTGTTTGAACTCTCATTCTGACGGCACCCATTCACTGCAGAAGATCCATTGGTGAGCAAGTGATGTAATGCTAAATTTCTCCAAATCAGCTCCAATGAAGTAACAAACTCATGTACATCTTGGATGGCCCGAAGGTGAGTAGATAAATAATAAAAAATGTAAATTTGGGTTCAGATGTAGCTTCGACACACTTGATTCACAACAAGCTGGTCACGCCTGTTGGTCAAAACATGCATAAAAACACCTTTTACAAACCATTTGCAAATGTTTTCTTGAAAGTCTAATCTACCAAATGCAATGACAAATCGTATCTGTATAATGTGTGTTTTTGTATTAATTTACAGGGGTTTTGTTTCTTTTGTTTATTTTATTGGCTAAACAGGCCAATAAGAGATTACTACTAATACTTTTTTTATTACACAAATGTCCCAACCCTAACAATGACTCACTTTGCCATGATATTGCAATGGCAATAGCTATTTGGTGAACAAAATTCCGATTTTAGGAGGGTTGCTATAGTTCCAGGTTTGTTTACTAACTGTTAAAATGCAGGAATGTGATCTTAACATGGCAGCCTCCATGAGAGGGCAAGTTCTTGAGGTGTACATTTTTTTTACTGGAAAAGTACTTAAATTGCACACTTGTACTTGTTACGCGATATTGATGATGTTTTATTTTAAAAATGGTTGAAAAAAGCTGCTCAGATTGATTTCTAATACAAACTGACCAGTAGACCCTCTTTTACACATATGTGAGTATACTGTGTAAACAGGGCCAGCAGGTCAGTGACCATGGTTTTTTACTGATTGCAACATGCATGATGATGAAACAATATTAAAAACTAAATATGAATGCAGTCTTATGTTTTATCAAATGTTTCTGTTTATATTATATTGTTTATATTTCACAGTATGAACAAATATATACTGTATGTATCATCCTTGGATGATATCTGGTACTAAAACTTGTTTTTTATCTTCCAGAATTGAAATAATTCAGACTGTGCATGATGTTAGAAGGAGTAGTTAAGCAATGTCTTTAGACCTTTGCACAGTGGCCCAAAGCACTAACTGGGAAGACATGTTTAGTAATGATCTGATATAAGATTACCAGGACTGACAAATGGAGGGAACTCCAGAAATTAATAATTAATTTGATGATGAATGCAAATAATTTCTCAATAGCTTGTTTGGAATGAGTGGCCTTTAAAATAAAGACACGGTCAAAGTTTTGTTCATAGTGTGCTCTGCACGATCAGCCTTCATCATGGCTTTCAATGCGCTGTGTATTTGGAAAGGGCTCCTTTTAGTTTCTTTGCTCTTCCTTTCTGTCCATGGACAAGCCTCAGGGCCGTAAGTAACTTTGAATGGTAACTGTTTAGTAATATCTTTGTAATATCTACAATTTTTTTTGTGAATTTTGCACTTGAATAGGATCCTTAAAAGGCTGAAATTTTTCTCAACTATACTATGCAATTTAATTTAAAAATAAAAATACTATATTAGCACAGATGGGAACTGCTTAAACTGAAGTGCAGAATGTTCTAGAATATGTATTGGAATACAAAAGTGGTAGAACTGTGGACAAGCAAATCTCTTTATGCTATGATATCTCTCAACAGGTCTTTCATGGTGACGTTTCCTGCAATGATCGAGTCGGGATCTGAAGCTAAACTGTGTGCAAGTCTTCTCAAGCCCAATGAAAGCCTTGTCATGAACATTTATCTGGTTCATGGTGATCAGAGCACTTTACTGCTGCAGGAGAAAGCTGAGGAAGAGTTTCACCGCTGCTTTAACATTCAGGTTTGCCAGCAGGAAATGTGCATTCACACATCATTGAACACTTTAGTCAAGATTTAAAATAACATATCACCCAACAGACACCTCTGGTAGAAGCAGAATCAGTGCAGACAATGAAGGTGGAACTTCAGGGGAAGAACTTCAAGATGACTGAAGAGAGAAAAGTCATGCTCAGACGTTACAACCATTTGACTTTCATCCAGACTGATAAACCCATCTATATTCCAGGACAGACAGGTGAGTTGTTAATGTTTGAGATTTGAAGTTCAGTGAATAGTGAGGTTGTTTAGTTTGTTTCACACTGTTGATGGTGTTTTAATGGGATGTCATTAGTGAAAGAGCATGTGGGCATTAGCACAATAGATATAGCCCACAGTAGCCACACCCCAAACCACTGGGCTGTTTCATGCTGCTTGCTTTTGTTTGCATCCAATAGTGCTAAGTATATAAAGCTTATAAACCAAAACTATCTTAAAAAATATTGTTTTAATTGTCAAATATATCACAAACTGTTTTTTTTTTAATTTACCCCGAAAATGAACAACTATTCTATATCTAAACTGTTACTCACACATTCATCTATGTACATTACATATGTAACAATAACACTATAAATATATAATTATACACATTAAATTTATAATGCCATTTCTGAAGAATTACTTTAAAATGTGTGGTCTGCTCACATATTTACTTGTACTACATGCGCGTTATTTTGGAAGTGACATTGTTTTCTATCTAATTTATCTGGTATTTATGGAGTAAGTAGATTTAATTTAGTCAGGGTTTCTTTAATCAAATTAAATTTGAATTCATTAATTTTTAAATTAGATTCAAATTACATTTTCTTCCCACATTTCTCAGAGCCTCTAATGCTGCACTGCATCTCAGAAATGACTAGTGAGAAGTTTGTAATCTTATGTTATAACATATCACTCATTTCACAGTGAATTTCAGAGTTGTCACCATGGATAGAAATTTTGTACCCTTTGATCAGAAGGTTTGTATCAAGCAAAAGCAATATTTTTTAAAAATAATTATTTTCTGTGCACTGTACCCATAATTCACCCTGCAATAAATATATTATTTGCAATGGATTTAAAAAAAACATTTTGAATTAATTTTTTGTTTGTTTGTATGTTTTTAGTACAGTACAGTCGTGCTGGAGGTAAGCACATGGTACCCATCTTTTACAGCCATTCATGTCATGTACAACAAAAATTTGATCGAATTTGCAATTCACGTTTGTTGTACTTGCAGTTATTAAATATTCAGTGATTACAGATTATTAATAATGGTCCGGATCTATGTAGATGACTAAAGCTAAGCTATATCGGCACTGTGTGTTCTTTGGGATCAAACAGGACAATCAGAATAACAGGATTGGTCAGTGGAAAAATATTTCCTCAACAAGGTGGATATTGCAGCTTTCTCATGAGTTGAACCCAGAGGCCCGTCAAGGCATTTATAAACTGATGGCTTATATTGGTGAACGGGCGATCACACATTATTTTGAGGTGAAGAAGTATGGTAAGTGACAATATCACAGAACGTTTTTGCATCATTAAATCTTATTCATGACCTTTTTAATTGATTCCCTGTAATTGATTTCCAGTTTTACCCAAGTTTGAAATTACCATGAAAGCTCCAAAAGAAATAACTTTTGGTGATAGTGATATGAATATGGAGGTTTGTGGAAAGTAAGTGAAGGTTTCTTCTGTTTTATTGCATTAAAATTTTAAAATACAATTAAAAAACTTTTTTTCATTATGATATCCTTAATTACTCAAAGCATGTACTTTATAGATACACATTTGGTAAACCAGTGGCTGGTAAAGCAAGAGTGGAAGTTTGTCGGGAACATTTGCGATACATTTCTCAAACAGACTTGATTTCACCATGTTTGGTTGAAACTACTGAGGTGTGTGACTGTATTATTTTATATTGTGTTACATTTATGAAAACATTTTCATCATAGTCTTTGTATTGGATGTTTTTAATGGATGTGTTTGTGCTCTATCTGCAGATGAGTGCGATGGGCTGTGCCTCCTTTACTTTGGACACATTAGCCTTTTTTAACTCTACAAATGACAGATTTCTAAAAGAACATCTTACTGTAAAAGTGAATGTAACAGAAGAAGGAACAGGTGACAGATCCAAGCAGAACTCTCATCCAAGCAGAACTTGTATATCGAAAAAATAAATGTATGTTAATATTAATATTAACAGTAATATTAATTACATTAAATTGTTTGTTTGTTTTCTCAGAAAACACCATGGAGAAATCTGAAACTATAAGTCTGACATATGAAATTGGTAAAGCTATGTTTACTGAGCTACCCAAAATATATGAGCATGGGTCAATTATACAGGGAAAAGTATGTCTTATTTTTTTTACATTAATAGTGAGCTGTATTGAAATATAGTCTGATTTTTTCTTTCTTCCTGTTGAACAGATCAAAATTGCTCATTTAAATGGAGCACCTCTTCAAAACAAAGACGTTTATCTTTTGGAGGGTAAAAGGTGGTCCTCAAAACTGATCTTAAATCTCACTACAGACAGTGATGGACTGGCCAGCTTCTCTCTTAATACATCTAGTCTTTCTGAAAGTGATATTAATCTAATGGTATGATAATGTTCGTGCACCCAGTGTTTGATCAATTGCTGTCTTTGGTAATTGAAAATAACTGGACATTCTTTGTTATTCAGGCAAGTGCATATCCAGAGTTTCATTATCAAAGCTTTAAAAAGCCTTACTTCTCTACAGAAGAAAAAACCATTCGGCTTCTCCTACCCGTCTCTATGGATAGAAAACCAGTTAAGCTTTTCCAGCCTGCCACTCCATACACCCCAACATTAAGTGAACTGATTATAGAGAATATTGAGCAACCATTAAAGTGTGATGCTGAGTTTACAGTGACCATCAAGTATTATTTTGTTGGAGAGACTGTTCAAGACTTCAAAACTGACATTGTCTATATAGTGAGTACAATTGCTGCATGTTCATTGGCTATATGTACAGTTTTACAGTGATGCTTTCCTCTGAGATTTTCAGTTTGTCATCGGAGTGTCATCTGTCTGTTTCAGGTCGTGTCCAGAGGAGTGATCGTTCATCATGGATATGAGAAGGTTGAAGTGAAGTCTTCTAATGGAGCAGCAAGTGGCACAGTGTCGTTCAAACTGTCTGTTGGTGGAGATCTGGCTCCTGCAGTGCAGATTCTGACCTACTGTGTTCTGCCCAGTGAAAATGTTGTTGCTGGTAGCAGAGATTTCATGACTGAGAAGTGTTTAAAAAACGAGGTATACAAAAAGTTCTGAGATCATTTAGATATTACTGTCTTTAAACCTAATTTTAACACCACTAAATGGCTCCATTTTCATCATAGCAACACTAAAATGGCACATCCTACAGGTTTCTCTGCAGTTTTCTCCTGCTAAAGCAGTTCCTGGTGAGAAAAACACTCTCCAGCTCTCAGCTCAGCCTGGTTCACTGTGCGGCCTCAGTGCTGTAGATCAGAGCGTCCTGATCCTGAAGCCAGGAGAACGTCTGGATACTGACAAGGTTTAATTGTATACCTTACATGGTTAAAATGAAAAATCGAACTTTAAAAAGCATACATTACTAAACATTGATATTTCCAATGACAAGTTCTTAGAATATTGTATTTAATCATTGGTAAATGTTTTTTAATCTCATCACAGATCTTTAACCTGCTGCCAGTACGGTCAGTTTCAGGTTATCCTTATAATGCCATGGATACACCAGAGTGCCTGGAAGTTAGACCTCGTCGTGCTGTGTCACTAGACCGTGTTTATGACAGCTTGAAGGTAACAAACTGCTCAGAAAATTGTTGACGTTACTTATAAAGAGGAGAAAGTAGGATATAATGAAAATAAAGATAAAAATAGTATTTTAGTATTACACCATACCCAAGAAATATAGATTTTAATTTACTTAGTTTTTCAATTTCCATTCAATTTCACATAATTGCTGTTTGACAGAATGTGGGATTGAAGATGGCAACAAATTTGCATGTGAGACAACCCCTTTGTCTGACATACTATGGTGTAACTTATCACAGAGGTTTTCACTTAGGTACGTCTACTTGAAATTTGTAATATGATGAATGTTTTGTTGTTACATATAGGCCTAAATTGCAGAAAATATTTAAGGGATCCTGAAATCATGTCACTTGAATATCACGGATTCAGATGCATAAACAAACAAAAAGTGTTGTAGATGAGTAAATGCATAAATAGGGACTGATGGGGGAATTTACTAAGAATCAGTTCATACCTGCTGAGAGAGCACTGGTTTTTTGCACACGTGCATTAGTCATTTATTTGAATTTTCAGGGAGGAAGTTTTCTGAAAATCGAGGATCTGCTCAACCACCTGTGGAGACAGTTCGTACCTTTTTCCCAGAAACATGGATTTGGCAGCTCACTGAAGTGGGGTATGTAAATGCCATAAAGACCATATATTCAAGGATACTTAACAGACTTTGTAAGTGGCACATTACGAGGTAAGATAGGATAAGATAAGACTTTATTTTATACCCAAGGGGAAATTTAGACATTACAGCAGCATGGACGATAAAAAAAACACAAAATAGAATGAAGAAGAAGAAAGAAAAAAAAAAAACTTAAGCATACTAAAATATATATATTAAAAAAACACTAAAGAACAGTTCAATAATGACGACTGAACACTCTAAAAAATAATTAAGTGGATCTGTTGCCACTACTTAATTTAATGCATTAGTGCAAGTTAAAAATTCCAATTTATTGATTTAATTAAACATTTTAAGTTTTAAACATTTTTTAATGAGTTGTCCTGATATCTTAATGTTGATAATTACATCAACGTAATACTGTGTGTAACTTCAACTTAAATATCTGTGTTAGTTTGTTTAAAACATTATTTAAGTTGTACTAACTGTATGTAATTAGCTCCATAACTTAATTTTTTCAAGTTCACGTTTCAGGTTCCCAGCATGCTTTGTATGTGACTGAATAATGAGCGGTAATGTAGAAATAAACTCATATTTTATGCATTTCTAATTTTCTATTCAAGATCAGAACAGGAGAAGATTTATTAATGTTGAATGTGGATAAGTTTCATAAATAAAAAATTAAAAAATAAACAACATTTTGAACAAAAAGCTGAAAAAAGACTATGAATTGGATTCAGAATGATAATCAAAACGTAGATAAAGTCGATCAACACACCAAAGCTTGACAGTTATTATTACCTCTTCATTGGTCGACATTTTATTCCATAACGTTACACAGTTTTGATGCTGTTTTATGTCTGATGATCGTGTTAGATTACATGTGGAAGCATCTGTTGTTTTGGTTTCTTCTTCACTTGTGTTTTTTGGAAATTCTGTACAGTACTAGCGCCCCCTACAGTATAACAATGAAAACACAGATTCTAGGAGCACAATTATAGCTAAAATATATTTAGACTTTTTCTAAGTATAAGTCAAGTATACGTAAATGTCATTTTAAGTATATTTCTGAGAAGTACATAAAGCCCATTTCTGAGAAGTACATAAAAAGTAGACTAAAAGTATACTTTCCTATTTTTAGTTTAAAAGAAGTATACTAATAGCACACTTGAATAAACTTCTTTTTCGTAAGGGAACTTAGAACAACTTAATAATTGTTAGTTTTAACACAATTTTCTAAGTATATATAGCACAATATAGTTTATTAGTTGAACTTAATTTCAGAAGAAGTTGCCTTAACTAAAAAAAAAATGATACAAACTGTTGTGTAAATTTTTTTTGTTGCGTCCAAACAATATTTTTTAGAGTGAATATGCAAAATAAACATCATGAATACTGACATTCACTGAAAAGTACTGTACTTCTAAATAAAAACAAATACATTTTCTGAATATGGATAAATAACTGGGTAAAACTGGTCCTATAAGAGTGCCAGAACCCAGCCTCAGTGCTAAGATATTCTGATATCATCTCTAGCGCTCAGTTATCAGATTGTTAAGCCTTTTCTTGTCGTTTTCTGTGATTCCACCACTACAGGAGACGACCGCAAAGAAAGTTGCTAATGCAACTACAGTATCATACATTTTTTCCATAGTACCCTACATGCACCCAAGTTAATCAATCTCATCAACAGTTGAAGGTGACTTTGGCCCTTCCTGTACAAAACACTAATGTTATATGACCAATCCAATTTATTGTTTATGTGAACACCCAGATGCTTGTACACGTTTATCATCTCAATGTCCAGCCCCTGGAAGTTTACTCTGCATTTTACTATACTGTGCTGCACAACAGGGACTCTGGATCAGCTCAGGTTCCTGTCACAGTTCCTGACACCATCACCTCTTGGGACACGGAGGCCTTCTGTCTGTCCTCCAAAGGTCTGGGTCTGGCTCCTCCTGCTCAGCTGACAGTTTTCCAGCCCTTCTTCCTGGAGCTCTCTCTGCCTTACTCCATCATCCGTGGGGAGATCTTTGAGCTGAAGGCCACTGTCTTCAACTATCTGTCCAAGTGCATCATGGTGAGACTTCAGACTCAGTCTTATCCAATCATATCAAATATGCCACTAATCATGTGTGTTTGACTGACAGGTTAAAGTGACTCCAGCTCCTTCCTCAGACTACACTCTCAAAGCCTCCTCTGATGATCAGTATTCATCCTGTCTGTGTGCTAATGGAAGAAAAACCTTTAAATGGATCCTCACTCCTTCTGTTCTCGGTGAGTTTTCCAGTCTGAATCATTGTTTCTCAGTGTTTGTGTCTGTTGTATCTTCACATACATGTCTTGTGTTGTAGGAGTCTTGAATATTACAGTCAGTGCAGAGGCAGAGGCGTCCCAGACTGTGTGTGACAATGAGATTGTGAGCGTGCCAGAGAGAGGACGCATTGACACAGTCACACGAAGTCTGCTTGTACAGGTCAGCGCACATCAAACGGCTCTCAGACATAATTTCTCCATGATCCTAATGCTGCTTATGTCAGTATGATGTGTTGATGTTACTGTTTTATTCTGCAGGCTGAAGGAACTGAGAAGACAGAGACCTACAGCTGGTTACTGTGTCCAAAGGGTTTGTCTGCAGATAATATTTAGCATCATAGTGTGTTTCTCTGCTGATCATTGATATGTGTTTCTGTCTCTCTGGTTCATAGGCAACAGTCTCTCAGAGGAAGTGGATCTGACTCTTCCTAAAGATGTGATAGAGGGATCAGCCAGATCCACGGTTTCAGTCATTGGTAACATTTACATACACAAGCAGAAATAAGTAAATTAGTATGGAAATTAGTACATAAATATTTACATTCTGCAGTACCTGGAAAACACAGAGCAGCTCACCTCAGCTATCCGAGAGAGAGCCACCCGCTTCCTTAAGAGCGGTGAGAGAAATCAATCATGTCAAGAGAATACTGAGAAATTAACTCACAATACATTTAGTCTTCGAAAACACTTGATCAACTCAAACATTTAATCACTGTCAAACTCAACAGGATATCAGAGACAACTGAACTACAGGCATAACAGTGGTGCATACAGCACATTTGGACATGGAAAAGAGAATACATGGTAAAAACGGTTCACTCTTATTTTTATCAAAGCAAAATAAGTTAATTTAAATTAATAAACCCAGGCATCCTGTATAAAATAGGATATAGTCTGTCTTCCATATTTTTTTTAAATTGAGTCGATTTTGAGTTATCATTTGAGTTACATTACTGGAACTAATAATTAAATTACCACACCACCAGGTTGACTGCCTTTGTCCTGAGGTCTTTTGGCAAAGCACAGAAATACATATTTATTGATCCACAAATTATTCAGAGTGCAAAGAAATGGTTAATAAGCAGACGGGATTCAGATGGCTGTTTTATCCAACAAGGAAGATTGTTTAACAACAGAATGAAGGTGTGTTATTTGTCACTAAACATTATCACAGAAACAATGCAGAAACAATCTATCTATAACTAAAATATTTTACTTAATGTTCCTCTAATATAAATTTCAGGGTGGGGTGAATGATAATGTGACCATGACTGCCTACATTACTGCATCACTGCTTGAACTGGAAACTCCAGTCACAGTAAGTTCATCTACAGGAAACAGTATAAACTCATAGAAAAATTAGACTCACAGCGGCTGTTTCTCTGTCTTTGTCTCAGGATCCTATCGTCACTAAAGGTTTGTCCTGCTTGAGGTCCGTCATTAAGGATGTCAAAAACACTTACACCACTGCTCTGCTCGCCTACACTTTCAGTCTGGCTAAAGACACGGACACTCGACAGCAGCTTTTCAAGAAACTGGAGGAAACTGCTATTTCAGATGGTAAGAGATTTGTTTTCAATGACTTTCTGTTGTCTTCTATGACTGTACTGTTGTTTTTTATCATGCTCATCGAGTTACTGGTGTCTCTTTTGTCCATGTGTCCTAAAGGGTCTCATCTCCACTGGTCTCAGTCTGCATCTGCTGATGACTCTGATTCTCTGGCAGTGGAGATCAGCTCATATGTGCTGCTAGCTGCTCTCACTGCAGATTCACTCACTTCAGCTGATCTGGGCTTTGCTAACAGGATTGTCAGCTGGCTTGTGAAGCAGCAGAATGCCTATGGAGGATTCTCCTCCACACAGGTGACCCAAACTACTCAAATCAAACACATGATTGCTGAATAATGGGTCAAAATCACATTACTGAACACATTTGTTTCTCAGGACACAGTGGTGGCTCTTCAGGCTCTGTCTTTGTACGCCACCAAAGTGTTCAGCTCTGACGGCTCCAGCACAGTGACTGTACAGTCAGCAGGAGACACTCACCACTTTGATGTCAATCAGGACAACAAGTTACTGTACCAGGAGAAACAGCTGCAGAACGTTCCAGCCAAATACAGCATTGAAGCGAAGGGCTCAGCCTGTGTGTCTGTGCAGGTCTGTAGTGCGTTCAGCTTCATTGACTCACACTCAATCTCTTCTTCCTCTCTTGGCATTTTGTGGCCATTTTGCTATGAGATGGTTTATAAATGTGTTTTTGTTCATGTTTACTCTCTCAGGTGGCTCAGTTCTACAACATCCCCACTCCTACTGAAGTTAAAACATTGAGCATTGATGCTAAGATTGAGGGAGATTGCAAAACATTGGGACAAAATTTCATCTTGAGCTTCACTGTCAAGTAAGAACAGATCTGAAAAAAGTAGTGTGACCAGACTGCAAAACAAAATACAAATTTGATATACAGGTATGTCTTAAATGTATAGGCTCATGTACCTCTCTCATTCGGCATGAATCCGAATGTTTCCATGGTTGCAAAATAACATTTAATAGCCAACCTATTATTTTGCAAACAAAGCTTTGTACTAAACGTGTCGTAATATTCACCTTAAGCATCATTCACAAATAAAATATCAACTTGGCCAATGTTTAGTCAACTATTAGGGGGCAGCCCTAATATGTACATAGTGCATAATTGTCATTAATTTGTAATTGTTTTACTTTATGAGGCATTTAAGAACCATCCTTTACAATTTGCTTTTTTTTTTCCAGATATGATGGTCGACAGGAAAGGACTAACATGGTCATTGTGGATATTAAACTCCTATCTGGATTCACAGCTGATACATCAATGGTGCATTTGAGTGTTTCATCCCAACTTCCCTGCAAACAAGCCTAAGGGCCCCCAGCGGGCTGCCAGCGCAGGGCCTGTGAGACTTTGCTCATTGGCAAAACTTTGGCCCTTTAGCGGTGGCCCTGCACGGGCAGCCCTCACTTAGCCCCCAGGAAGCCCTCACTAGGCCCACACAGGGCCAACACTATTAAACTACAACAATAAATCTGTTTCACTATAAAAACTTTTCAGCAACTATAACTTATGAGAATTTGCTCATTGGCAAAACGTTGGCCCCTTAGCGCTGGCCCTGCATGGGCAGCCCTCTCTTAGCCCCCAGGAAGCCCTTACTAGGCCCACACTATTAATCTACAAGACTACAACAATAAATCTGTTTTACTATAAATACTTTCCAGTTACTATAACTTAAGTCTTTGGGAAAAACAGTTATTATACATCTGAAATGGATGCAGTCACCACATAACTAATGTCTGTAATCAAAAATGTACAGTATAGTCAAAGGGATTTCAAATCAATGGATTTATTAAATAAAAAATAGAAAACATTCAATTCAGTTTAATACAGCTAATTTAACACTCCGAAAGGGACTACGCTCTAAAAAATGCTGGGTTATATTTAACCCAGCATTTTTTAGAGTGTACATATTATCTATACAAATATAAAAATACTACAAATTAACATAAAAATAAAAATACCAAATGATTAATTTGACCTCTGCTGAAAATGTTTTGATGGGCTAAAGTATTCATTGGTGAAGCGCACTCATCCCCTGTGGTCTCTCGACTAGTCAGCAGACGGTGGTAGCGCTCCTTTGCTCCATCCACGCTGTCTCTTGAATTCCACAACCCGACCTTTATCTCACTCTCAACTTCAGAATCAGGAGGACTTTGCTGAAAGAGGCATTTCCTAACAGCCTCTGAAAAGAAAATCGGCCTATATCAGGGATCTTCAAATCTGGTTCATTAATTAAACTCACTTTCTTGCAGATTTTAGCTCCAACTTTGATCAATCTCACCCACCTGTGATTTTCGATACTGAAGACACTGATTAGCATGCTCAGGTGTGTTTGATTAGGGTTAGCGCTAAACTCTGCAGGATGATTAGCTGGTTCAGGTGTGTTTAATTAGGGTGGGAGCTAAACTCTGCAGGACACCGGCCCTCCAGGACCGAGTTTGGACAGCCCTGTCTTAAAAGGTCTCTTTTGGTTTGAGCCATTCCAGTTCAGTTGAGTGACTAAAGAATGGCCAGTCAGTGTTAGTATTCTCCTAGTTCAGGGGTAGGCAAGTTCGCTCTAGGACCGAACTTGCCTACCCCTGTCCTAGTTGCATTACAAGGCTGCCTACATAAAACTTGCATGGGCCCAAAGGTACAAATGTTGCTCTGGGCCCGAACGGGCTGGCCCACACTGGGCTATCATCGGATTAATGTGGGCAGTCTCATAGTGACATGCTTACATGTCACTATGTCGTGCTTACAGAGAGCCCACGGTAAGCCCAAAGCTGTGGGCCTCGCCTGGGCAAGCCCGCACCGGGCCTGTTTAGGTTTGGTGTGGGCTGGCCCTAGCCCACTGCCCTGTTGAAAAATCCAGGGGCCCGTTCTTCGTACGTCGCTAACTCAGTTAGCTGGATTTGATTGTTGACTATTTCGCCTGATCTTGAATTGTTTGGTCCTTCGAAGCTCATCCCAGAGTTGCTGTCATAGCAACAGGTCTGTTAGCTTAAACCTGCCCGGGAGCAGGCTTATTTCATGTAAACAGGATTAGATTGCATCTTTTTAAGCAGAATTGATACTTGAAATCTGTCCTACTGCTACTTCATTAGAAGAGTATCCTACTGATCCAGGGACAGTAATTAAAAGGATATTTAGAAAAGTATTTAGAGGTCAGTATTTAGAGATTAACCAGTACTTTTTCCACACAGCTTGGAACTTCTGGAACGTACGCATCACTTGTGGAGCGGGTCGATGCTAAAGATGATCATGTCATTTTGTATTTGAAGGAGGTGAGAGAATAGCAACATTCATATGATCTTATGTCATTTAAAGGTTGATTCATACATATTTTATCCATAATTTCCATGACTGATGAGTTTATTTCCTCCTGCAGATCCCCAAAAATATTCAGAAGAATTATCAGATACAAATGAAACAGGTTCTTCCAGTGAAGAATCTCAAGCCAGCCGTGGTCAAGGTGTATGATTACTACCAAACAAGTAAGATTTTATATGCCACTGTTGAATGTTGTTATCATCTCAAGCAAGTTATTCAGATTTATTCCATGTGCAAGTTTCCATTGTTGTATGAATGTTAACATAATTTTTTCTTCAGGTGATCAGTCAGAGAGCGAATACGCCTTCCACTGTTAATGAAGATGCAGAACTGAAGCATGTCACTTCATAGTTAATTGAATATAGATGTTTGACTGCTCAAATGTTTAATATTATAATGTATAATTATTATCATTGGCAAATTTATTTACAATCCATCAACCCAAATTTGTACAAACCCCTATTGTAAATCTGAGTTTTTGGTCTCTTGAAAACCAGATCACAAACCCAATGATTAATGTTGAAAATGTTGAAAACAATTATGGTAAACTGGTTGAAATTTATTAAATTGCAAGTGGTTTTTACCATTTTCTATGGGTCATGCAAATGTCTAGTTATAAAAAGTTTATAAATATCAAATCGTATATAAACATTTAAAAATAAATACACAATATTTCCTCATTGTTTAATGGCTTTGAGTTGTTAAAATGAATGGTTTTGTAAAAATCTGTATTAGTAATTATTTCATGTCTTGTAAATTTTATGGCATACACTATATATATATATATATATATATATATATATATATATGTGTATACTATATATATATATATATATATATATG